TGAATAAGTCCACGGAGCTGTTGCAATCCATCATAAGTCATGTGATTTGTCTGATAGAAGCATCTGAACTTGTTTTCCATGATAAATTTAGATTGCTCACAAATCTGAGCCTGGTGTGATATTACATCTGTATTTGCCACTTTAACCCTGGAGAACCCAAGAACCTTTTTCTTCTTTGGAAAATGATGAATTATACATTAAATGACTGCTGTATGTTCACTGAACACCAAAATATGTTTTTTCAAATATTCAATGCTTTAATCCTAATTTAGGATTAGGGCCAAATCTGACCCTTTGGGATTTAAGGGCAGAATTTGAGTAGCAGAATTTATAGGGGCCAAATTTGACCCCGTGGGTTCTCCAGGTAATAGGAGCAGATCATGAATTAATAAACCCCACACACGTCGTCACTTTGATATAATCAGTGACGCACCCAAAATAATAATAATACAGTGAAACTCCTCTACAACGAAATCATGTTTGCAGCAAGAAATTTTTCACAACAGGGGGTTTTTCACTGTAGCAAATTTGATCTCAGATGTAAGCACACACACACCCAAACACACAAACGTATGTGTACACGCACACACAAACGTTTGTGTACTCTATTTTTATTCCAATAGTACATAAGTATGAGCACACACTTATTTGACACTTCATATTGTCAGTGTAGAAAGAAAAAAAGGGAAAGAAATTGCGAAATTTACGATCAGCATTCACTTTCACTTACATCAATTTCTTGGAAAATGTATTTTATTTTGCTTGCTCCGTCTTTCATTTTGATCACTTTTACCCTCTCTTCCAGCATCAGAGCTCTTCTTGTCTTAGCTGCTTGACATCAAAAGGTCCGTTTTGTAGCCATTTTAGCAATGCAACGTCCATCCTCGTCTGAATCTAACAATAACAAATACTTCCTGACATGCAATGAACTTTTAAGCCAGCCACGGGGCGCTTCGTAGTCCTCGATGGCCATAGTTAGCTCTCGAAGACTAAAAACCTTAGCTAACTGGAGCGCTTCTCTCTCATTAGCGCTCCAGTTAGCGTAAGGTTTTTAGTCTTCGAGAGCTAACTATGGCCATCGAGGACTACGAAGCGTCCCGTGGCTGGTGTAAAAGTTAATTGCATGCCAGGAAGTATTTGTTATTGTTAGATTCAGACGAGGATGGACGTTGCATTGCTAAAATGGCTACAAAACGGACCTTTTGATGTCAAGCAGCTAAGACAAGAAGAGCTCTGATGCTGGAAGAGAGGGTAAAAGTGATCAAAATGAAAGACGGAGCAAGCAAAATAAAAGACATTTTCCAAGAAATTGATGTAAGTGAAAGTGAATGCTGATCGTAAATTTCGCAGACAAAATGATTTCGTATAACGCAACAGGGGGTTTTTCGTCGTATGGGGGGCAGGAGAATGGGAATTGTGTTAATGCATGAAGATTTTTTCACATAAGGGGGTATTTTCGCCCATGCAGGTTTCGTTCGAGAGGAGTTTCACTGTAATACATTTTATTTGAAAGCGCTTTTCATCACACTCAGACACTTTACAAGAGTTTAAAACACAGGATAAAAATGTGCACTTAAAAACAAGCATACATAATTTACAAAAACACATTTAGATGAACAAAAAAGCAAAAATGGGTCAAAGAAATTAAAAGGTGTTAAAAGCATTGCAGAACAGATGAGTTTTAAGAGATGATTTGAAGGATTGGAGGTCGGTACAGTTGCGGATGTGTTGTGGTAGAGCGTTCCAGAGGGTGGGGGCGGCGAGAGAGAAGGCTCGGTCCCCCCAGGTTTTAGTAGGGCGCTTTGTTGTTGTTTGCGTGAGAAAAAAAAAAAAATTCTATATAGTGGGTCCACCGTTTATAGTGGAGTTCTGAATTTGAAGTTGCAACCTACTGGACATATGATGATACACATTCTGAAACGTAGCCTATAGAAATGATTCTGTCGTGTCACTTTTTTACAATTGTGTCTGCCGTCACTGGTCATCTGCAGCAAGCTGTTTGTCACAACAATGTCATAGGAAGCTTGATTTGATCGGCAAAAGCTTTCACTTGTCAGTCTTGTGCGATGCAACTGCCACCAGGTGGCAGAATGAACAACAGTATCGGTATATGGAAGTGAATTACGGACACATAGACTTCCTACATTACAATCGTAAGGTGCAAAATAACTTCTAAAAGTCATTGAAAATTAAATAACGAGGTGGGTCAATGCAAATAATAGTAACTACTGCTTTGAGAAAGAATAACCTAACATTATGAATACAATAGACTTTTATTTATATAGCACTTCAGAACAGCTGCAGCTTTAACAAAGCGCTTTACGGAACATTAACGTAACTACTGTATTAACTGTTAAAAGAAAGATCCTTGAGGCATGCTGGGTACTCCTAACTCAACATGCATAGCAGTTTGCATTTTGAGCCTCATCAAATCACAAAGAATACCAAAACTGAGAAGATAATTGTGAATTATGAGAGATTTTCTTCCATATTGCCCAGCACGAGAACTGATGCTACAGTAGTAAAGTCATCATTACAGTACTTCTATGGAAAAACACTTGTCGGGGAAACAAACCAAATAACCAATAAATGTGATGGTAAATGTGTATCCCTTCTTTTGCCACATGATGACATTGTTTAACTGCTGCGGAAACTAATTCATTTCACAACGCCTGTAACCTTGAACTGTTTATTTCGGGCCTGTCATAACATAAGGAGTCAGGTTCTCTGGTTAGGGCTCTTGAGGCGGTGCTGGCAACTTGTACTTGAAGGAATGGATGTGCTAGTAGCCTTTGAGGAGTTACACTTTCTTTATCAACATGAACTACAGTGAACCCTGCTCTATCGTGGTTCATGGTTGACGCCCCGGCTTTATTGCATATTTTCACTGGTTTTGACAGTGTACAGGCAAGTCTGAATTCAGAGTCGCATGCCTTCAGTTGAGTGACATGTTGTACCGCAACATGCCAGGGCAGCACTGAGAGCTTCTGGAAGTAGATGCAGTCTAATAAAGAGCAATGGGAAGAGGCATAGAAGGTTCTCTACTAAGTTGCAGCAATAAATGTTGGTCCCACCCAAAGTTGATTTAGTATGAAAGTGGGTTCTCCACACCAAGAAGTATTTTTTCCGTTGCAAGTCTGTTCTTGATGACCACCTCCAGTCGTCCTCATAAGCACTGAAGATTTTGTGCATAGCCTGTCTGCGTCTTTGTTTTTGAGCGATCATGTGAGATTTCTACCTTGGAGGACCTGTTTCGAGATCAGTAGTTGAACAGAATCTTTGCGTGTGGTGCTGTGTTTTGAGGTTGTCGCATCACACAATACGACAAATTGTTTAAAGCCAGTCTTTTACAAGTTGGGTCACATATTAAAATAAAAAAAAAAAAAAATTCGGATTTCAAATATCCTTGTGTCCCCCATGTCTGTGTTATCACGCAGCCACTCTCCGGATGGTTTGTTGGATGGCAGCCTCAGCAGCATCTGCTCCTCGACTGACTCCCCGGGCAAAATGGAGGGAGTGTCACCGTCGTCGTCCAGCAACTCTCCCTTTGCTCCCCTCCAGGATTTATCTCCCAAGTGAAAGCGCGATGGCAATAAGGAACATCCCAAAGCCAGTCTTCTCTGGCCAGGGAACACGTTTCCCTGTAGACCCTCCACCTCAGCAATGCCGAGAGGAACGCGCGGTTTCTAGAGTTGCTGGTTTTGCGGCCATGTCTGAAGTCAAGAGATGAAAGCCATGTCGTGGAGTGACAAACGGTGACAGTGTGAAAGACTGAAGATGCTGAGTACAAGCTGCTAGTCATTGGATGGATGGTGCTCGGCTTGACTGGCATTAGCTCTACAATTACAATAGCTATCATTCATGTGTGTTCCCCTCAATAGAGATGAGACATGAAGCACTGGACAAAACCCTGTTTGGATTTGTGTATTTCCCCTTTGTGCTGGACCCTATTTTGTCCAACAGGCCTTTGTATGTAAAGACTTCAGTTTTTTTTTTTTTTGTAAAGATTTAATTTATTGTTTGCTATCGTGTACATAGTAATCTTATGGATTAGTTTGTATAGATTATAAAATTGATGTGATGAGGTTTAATGGTGACACCATGCGTCTGCAAAAAAGAATATCAGGAAACTTTACGGTTATACTGCGTAGAGACATCTGTGCCCTTGGTTAAAGAGAGTGCATGTGTGTGTGTCACATGGCACACCAGGCGGAGCAATGATAAACCTTGCAGTTACTTGCATACAACAGGTGGTGGTCTTGGTAGTGTTTAACACTGAAGGCCTCTCTATAGTTGTACAGTTTTTTTTTCTTCTTGGGGGTGGGGTATTATTTATGGTAAAACAAAAAACTTTATATAGGATGGCGATAGCATTCTATCCCGAGTATAAGTGAACATTTGTGTTATTTTGAGTGCAGTTCACATCCAAATGGCACCAGTGCTTTGTTTTATAGGAGGCTGCTGTTCCTGCTGTGGTTCATGTTGCACAGGGTTACCTGTTTGTTTTTTTTTCAGCCTGTGTTAGTCTTAAATGAGGAGTTTGACTGGACCTCCAATTATGAGAAAAATAGAACGGTATGTCAAGTTTAAGCCTATACTGTGACTTTTGCACCTAATTTGTGATCACCAGTCCTACCTGTCCCCCTTTACGTACGAACAAGGATGTGATTGTATTGATTTTAAAGGAGTTGTGCCCTTTTTACTCTGAAGAATGGTTTGTTTGCAGTTACGCAAGTGAATGTCATTTTACCCTATCCAAAATTAGAACATGGAAAAAGCAGTTAGTTTGCCCGTCTGTCGATGCATGAGTTTAGTGACGTCAAATGTCAAACTTGCCTTTGCTTTTTGTTTGCGTTCATATCAAAGATGAAATAAATTATTTCTTTATGTCTGCTGCGTTTGTGTTCCCGCTTGAGAGCATGTCGTTCAATCTGCCATCAACAGCAGACCTCATTTACAGCCTTAACGCGGCTCTCTAACTAAAAATACTGTAATTTATACCAGGTTTCTGTACTGACACTTTATTGAATGTTTGGAATATTGGAATAGTACATGTATTTTTAGCAAAAGGCTTTTTCGTAACACGATTGCTTGAAAAAAAAATTAATTCAGATTGGTACCGATACATGCAGAAAACTGCATTGCGTCTTCTTCAATCCACTTGATTTGAAACATCAATAATGTTGGTTACAAGTAAATACAGTAAGAAAATTGGTATGGCTTTATACACATGTATGTAGGGTGCATTTTCATTCACACTGCTGCTCACTTCAGTTTCATCGCAATAGATCGGAAGAATCATGCTTCTTCACAGGTCCTGCCCAAGGACACGCCACAGGTCTGTTTACATCAATGTGCCACAAACAAACCTGCAGTTGTAACGTATAACACTCAAATGTTTCAGATGTGAAGATGTATGGGGAGACAAACCCCCCACCCGTAGCCAGCTTGACCAATGAAACAATAGTAGGTGTGTGTGTGGCAATGTCTGATTTGTTCAGCCCCCCTCAGCTTCATCCATTTCATGTGCGCAAGATGACCATTGTGAGAAGTCCTGAAATGAAAGAATTAGGACACCATACTCTGAACAAAACTGAACATTACTTTTATCCTAATTGAACTTATGAATGTATAAAATGTATTCAGCTCACCGAGAACATAAGCAGCTACAAGTTTCTTGTTAACACTTAAGTGGAGGTAGACAGGCACAGTGGATTCTTGCTCCCCCAGAGTTGGGAGCATCAGGGCTGCCACGCACACCAGCCCCAATAGCACCGTCAACAAACTGGGCCCTCCAGTGGCAGGACGGCTCTCTGTGAGACACGCATCATTTAACAAAACTGCTACTCCATACCAAACAGCCTGTGACATATTAATTCTGACACGGGGGTACATATTTGAACAGTGGTGAAAATGTTCCAGCAGTGGACACCATTTGGAACAATTTGTTTTTATGGAAGTGTGTGCGTTTGTGTCCGCGCACACACATCACGTGAATAAGATGACACCTGAAAACAAGAAGTGATTAACAACACCTCACCATTGCGAGGCTTTAAATGGGCTATTTCAAAGGAAGTAGTGTCTAATCTGGTCTTTGAGTGTCACAATAGTCTCATCAACTGTTTGCAACAGAGCTACAGAGAAACTGGAAGTGTCACACAAAGGCATACTTGTGGAAGTGGACCTTCTTGGGAAATGTAACGGTTAGATCATGAATCAAAGACTTGTGAATTTTGAAATTTGTGAAAATGTGGGCCTGCTTGATAACTGTTTTTTACCCTGGCCTAACCCATTGGATAGGCTGCTTGAAGGAATACCTCCCCAAATGAGCAATTGGCTCCCTCTAGTGGCCAAAGGCTACACCCTTACCTGTTTGAAAAACAGTCTGTTCAAAAAACTCGCTGTCCGCCAGCTGGTCTTTGGCCCTGCGCTCATCATCTTGTGAACGGAGGCCGCCAGGCTCCTGCAAGGCCGAGGGACGGAGCGTGGCCGTGACCTCCTTGCGGCCCAGAGCTTTGCGTTGACTTTGCTCCGACACCTGCAGGCGGAACTTGTCGTACACGCCATAATGGCATGGCCGCACGTCTCGTAGTCGAATTACGCTGCATTACATAGATCACACAGACAGAAAAGTTAGTTCACTGGAATCATTGGCGTAATGTCAGGGCAAGTAAAACCTTCTCTGCTGGCCTAAACACAATCAGAAACGCGGACTTACATTTCCTACCTAAATCTTAGCATTCCCGCTATGAAATTTTATAAATGTATTCCCCACAAGCATTTATTTTGGCTGCACTGGCTTCCAGTACAGTAATCGACCCAAGGCCTTCCCAGTCAGGAGAGCTGACCGATGCCTCTTCAACTCAAAGTGGACTTTCAAATTTGCCTTATAGGGTCAATTAGCTGTCCCAAAATGACATCAGCAGTTTTTCTGTAATGTGACTGGTTGGTCTGAGTAAAACTTGCTTCAGCCAACTTCAATTGGCAAAACACATTAAGGTTAAGGTTATATCGCATGTTAGGTGCATCTGGAAATGTCAACTGAAATTTCCCTAACTTTTTGTAAGTAGTGTATTTTGCCTATTCAAACACACAAAAGAAGCTCACATGTCAACACAACACTGCGGCTTGACAGCTCCGGTGGCGTCCACCACAGTGTACTTGTTTGGCGCTGTACACAGCACTGGGGGAGAAAAAAAATACATCAATGTTCATTGGCAAAACATACAAGTCACGTCCATGTGCTATTGTGTGCCGACTGACCTTTAAACTTGAGAGCAAACTCATAGGGATTGTAGAGGGTGAGCACCTGCTTGTGAGACGTCTGCTCATCGGCATAGAAGACGAGCTCAGTGGGGAACACGAACACGGGAAGGTTTCCTTCCACCAGCTCAGGCTGTCGATGCTGCTGCTGCATTGGCACCCACTGAGCTCTTTTCCGGCCCCCGTCCACAGTGTGCCCGGGCCCCCTCTTCCCTCGCTTTGCAAACTCTAGCAGGCTGTGTGAAAGAAAATGGCACCCCTGGGTTCTATGGCATGGCACTGTGAGTGGACAGAGGTGGACGCCAATATTAATAAGGCCTTCTGTCGTAGCATTCAATTCCATAACTTGGAGCCCTTCATATGCACACAGACATCAAACAGTGACTCTGTGTATTTTTATCTGGCAACTCTTTTCACATCGTTCTCTTTTGTTCAACTTTCACACTTTCTTCTATTTTCCATGACACTTGTCCTCATTCGGGTCATGGGTGAGCTGAAGCCTATCCCAGCTGACTTGGAGTGAGATGCGTAATATACCCGAAAGTGGGCACATTCACATATGCACACCTATTGTCAATCTTCAATTGACCTAACATGCATATTTTAGCTATGTGGAAAGAACCTAGAGGGCCTTGAGGTAACCTGGTTTAACTATCCATCCCCATCCATCCATCCATCCATCCATCCATTTTCTGATCCGCTTTATCCTCACAAGGGTCGCGGGGGGTGCTGGACCCTATCCCAGCTGTCTTCGGGCATTAGGCAGGGGACAACCTGAACCGGTTCCCAGCTAATTGCAGGGAACACAGAGACAAACAACCATGCGCGCTCACACTCACACCTAGGGACAATTTTGTGTGTTCAATCATCCTGTCATGCATGTTTTTGGAATGTGGGAGGAAACCGGAGTACCCGGAGAAAACCCACGCAGGTGCGGGGAGAACATCCAAACTCCACACAGGAAGGCCGGAGCTGGGATCGAACCGGGTACCTCTGCATTGTGAGGCCGATGCACTAACCACTTCGTCACCGGGCCGCCCTGTGTTTAACTAATGAACTATAAGTATTTACCTTGGATAATTAAAAAAATACTGTCACAATAAACTGACACATTTTGTTCAACACAAAAATAACAAGATATGACCATTAGTTAGTGGGTGGAACTGTTTAACATACAAATTTAAATACTAAATGTAATAAAATATATGGGTTTCGTTCTTAGATTTTGACAAAATAAAAACAATAAAGAGCCGCTTGTAATATTTGTAGTAATGCACACTACAGTAAGTGCAGATATTTGAGTTAAATATTTCGGAGTGCAACCGTACAATTAAATCTAATGGAGGGAAAGCAAGGGCAGCACAGTGATCTCAGTGGTTTGCATGTCTGTCTAACGGTTATGACGTTTTGGATTTGACTCTCAAGTTGGCATTTCCTCACTGAGCTCACTTGCATGGGGTTTCTTTAGGTATGCCGGCTTCCTCTCACATCCTTGTGTCCATGTTAGGTTCAGTGAAGGCTTGAAATTTTCTAAAGATGTGAATGCAGAGTGAATGGTTATTTGTACATGACCTTAAGGACAAACGCGATACAAAATGTTTGGGGAAAATGTGGTTTACTGACACATAATTTCTATACGAAAAACTGTGAATTATATCAAATTAAGTCAAGTAAACAAAAAATGTCAAATATATATTTGTTTTTCAGTAAGTATCCTATGCAGGACAGATAAAGCTGCCATTCTTATTATTGGTGTTAGTTGCACTGCTTTGTGATTCCCCATAATTAAATTTTGTGTTACCTCAGTGCAACCGTTTGTGCAGTTTTATCTCTTGGGATCATTAAATGTCGCATCGAGTAGCTAAAACGTTCAATGCGTTTCTGTTAGGTTCTAATGCATGTCATAGAAGGCCATAACTCGCTCCACGCGGTCATTTGTTGACATGTTTTTATGGTCAGGGTCTGAACACGAGGACTAGTGGTCGTGTCGCAACACTCAATGCTTCGGGAAAAAAAACTCACAAATGTAATCGTCTTCGTCGTGTGGGCATCAACAACGGTATACACAATGTTACACTTTCAATGTCATGTATGGAATGTTATGTTGTTATTCTTCATCTGGAAAGGAAGCTCACAGATAAAATGCACAGTTAAGCTTTCATGTTAATGCTTAATAACCATTGAAACGGGCTTTTATACGATTATTATACATACCCACCACCAATCGCCAATTAACCCTAGCAGATTTAAATTCGGTGACATTTCATCCGAAGAGTTATATTGTCGTATTTTTGTAGCTAAAGAGCTAGCATGCTACGACAACACGAATGCTAACCCAAAGGCTAATCTGTAAAATGTCCTGTCGCAATTACCATACTTCATGATAATCAAACAATTAATTATTGGAACTACATTTGAAATCAAAGTGAGGAATTACCTCAATTGTCAGGTTAATGTCACCGCCGGGGTTTTCTTGTGCCGATGCCAGGGCTGCTCTTCCTTTCTAGTCTGTTTTGTCAATAATAGGCTGCAGAGTTCGCGGTGCATGCTGGGAAGGCTTCGGAGAACGTGCGAAGACGTCAACAAAACGACTTGACAAGAAGTGTTTGTTGTTTACGTTCTTTACACCCCATACAAACCGTATAGTACAATCAAGTGCTGCTTCATTAAGTACATCATGCACATATGTTTAACCATGATCGTTGAGTCCATTATAAATTTGCATTTTTACTCATGTCACGATGTTAAGGGTCATGCACATCTGATTTCAATATACAGTGTGTGTGTGTGCGTGTGCGTGTGTGTGTGTGTGTGTGTGTGTGTGTGTATGTATATGTATATATATATATATATATATATATATATATATATACACACA